CTGAACTGTTCCTTTAAGAGAGAGAGACTTTTATGAACTGTACTTTACAATGGTTTTGTTTTTTTGTTTTCTGAATATGTAAGGGCAGGGTCCACCGTTTGACATCTTATCTGGTATCGCTCTCATATTGTAGCAGGGCAGATAAACTAGAAAGCCAAGGTGATCTCTATTCGCACAAACAGAAACTCAAAGGCACACTCACCACACAAGACATCTTTTCTGCCTGGCAAACTTGCTTTTTTTCTAGTTTTACCAGTTGTACCGTAGTTTGTACAGGTTCAAGGTCTAGGCATTGAGGGTTAACCATGGTATGTAAGCATGTTTAGGGATTGCGCAGTCATGCACCACTTGATCTGACTGACTTTTTAAACATATAGATGATTAATTGAGAGTAGGCTGCGTGTTTTGTTTATTTGTTCTACTTAATGGACAAGTACATGTACGCATCTTCTGTGGACACTTGGCGTTCCCGTCTGCTTTAGTAAGTATTTTTCTTTAAACCTTTCAGTTTCTTGCTGCTTGTGAGCTCTACTAAGTTCCTAAGGTGTGACCCACACTGCAGTGTGTCTCTCATAGGCGTCCACCAATTTCATCTTGCATCTCTTTCATTGATTCATGACTCATCAATCATTGCAGAAATGCACTTAGAAACCATTCCAGCACTCAGAAACCCATAGCTTGTTTTCAACAAGCAAATGCACCATTAGCATAGTTTGCTTATGCATACTGGTAATTATTAATCACACATGTAAGTGGTCATTGCACAGTCTATTTACAAAAGTATGTAACAAATAATAGAAATTATCAGCATGTATACGTACTGTAAATATGTGCTTATTTAAATTAAATATATATATAATGTGGGCAATGTAATGTTTGGGATTAATATTGGGCTTTAAGCAGATAGTTGTTATCCAGCTTTCTTGCTAGTACCTTTGTGTCTATATTTGGTCCCAAAAAATTTAATTATTTTCAGTTGTGATATGATTTCATTGATAATACATGCTTTATTTTTAATTGAATTAAAGGGATAGTTCACCCTAAAATGGAAAATCTGTAATCACTTACTCCCCATCGAAACCCATAAGACTTTCATTCATCTTCAAAACACAAATTAAGATACTTTTAATAATGAAACTTGAGGGTTTCATGTCCCTCCATTGAAATCCAGGTTTTCTTGAGAGATCGAGAACAGACCTCAGGGCCTGTGAGTTATCTTTAATCACGCTATGATACCACTGCCCATATGTTTTCATTATTAATAACAAGGGATGAAACTAAAAACAGTTGTTCAATGAGGTCAGTTGCTTTGCTCAAGCTGAACTGTCATTAACAATTTATAACCGACATGATGACACGATATTTCAATTATCTCAGTTTCATTGATCATGTTGTACGTACCACATTTACTGTTTACGTATTTGCCAGGTTCAGTGTAATATGGGGCTGCTGTTGTTTGTGCCAGAGGCTACAACATACTATAAAATTTATGATACCACTGCTATCAGATCTTGATAGAGTTTTGTTTCAGTCTTTCCTCACTGAAATAGATGAAGCTGCACTGCCTATTATCTATATAGTTAAAGGTAGTTATAGAGGTATTGCCATGATGAGTCAATTGGTAACTTTGTACAGTTTGTGAGCAGGAAGTCAGAATTGACACAGGAAATAGCAGGATGTGACTTGTCTTGTTCACTGTATCTTGTTTCCTCTTTTTTTTTTTTAATTTTTTTTTTTTATAGTGGCGGTGGGGAAGGCTCTCTGGACAGGCTCCTCCCAACCATCAACACCAGCCTGGCGCCACGGAAACGAACCACCAGCCAGTGCAAATCGGAGCCTCCGCTGCTGCGGACCAGTAAGAGGACCATCTACACCGCCGGACGCCCGCCGTGGTACAATGAACACGGGACCCAGTCCAAAGAAGCTTTTGTTATCGGTCAGTGTATTAAAGCACTCCAGGGAGAAACAAAAAAGCACCACCATAATCTGTCGACCATCGTCAAGTGTCAATTTACTGGTCTGTTTTTACCCATAGGGCTTTGCGGAGGCAGTGCCTCAGGCAAAACAACAGTTGCTCGTAAAATTATCGAGGCCTTGGATGTTCCTTGGGTCGTTCTTCTGTCAATGGATTCATTTTACAAGGTAACACGTCATCTCATTGGAAATCATTCATGCATTAAATGTCCCTACTGATTTATTTTGCATTTCTATGTTTGCTGGCGTGTCTTTTGTGGGCACAGTTTTGGAGACAGGCCGAATGGTTTTGAAGTAAGCGAAATGGCAGAAATGGGCATAGTGGCTGAAATGGATGAATATTTTCTTCTGTTACAATTCCTTGAAGATATACAGTACGTGAAAAACGTACCCAAATCCTTGTGGTTTGTTAGGTTGCAGTGGCCACATTCACAAAATGTATAAAATGTAAAAATTTCTGAAGATAAACTTTAAGTAATTCCTGATGTGTGTGCGCTGCTAGAGTAAATGTGTCCTGTGAATGGACACTCTCATATGTGCTGAGTGGACAAAATTATGTATAAAATGAAAAACAAGGTTTTTGTAGAGTTGTTACTGAATTTGTAATTCAGTGAAAAGTCACATCATGTACAGTGGGGCAAAAAAGTATTTAGTCAGCCACCAATT